GAAAACTATTATATCTATGTCAACCAAACTGTATAAAATCGTTTCTTTTAGGCATTTCCATACACAGTTAAAAAATGGAAGAAATCGGATAATAACCACGCCCACCTCCCATACAAAGGTTATGTTGAAATTCACTAAAAGTGCGTTAACCGACTAACAAAAGACGTCAGAAACACAAAATTTTACGGAGAAATGTCAGAAGGAAGCTGCACCCAGGCTTTTTTAAAAACTGAAAATGGGCGTGACGTCGCCCACTTATGGACCAAAAACCGTATCTCAAAAAGTACTCGACCGATTTCAATATAATTCGGTATATAATATTTTCTTAACACCTGATGACATGTACCAAATATGAGTGAATCGGTTCACAACTACGCCTGAAATCTCGATTATCACTTTATCGTGCGAGAGTATAAAATGTTCGGTGACACCCGAACTTAGCCCTTCCTTACTTGTTACAAATAGTTTCACGCACGCGTAACACTCAAATAGTATTCCTTGTTGAGAGTTTGGCAGATCGAAAGGAATTCAGATTGCACCACACCTCGATAATCGAAAAAACTGGTCGTAAGCGTAGATCCAACACTCATCAGTCAGTAATACCATAATACGTTTCATGACATACTGGTGGTCGGAGTGATTGAATGATTTTCGAATCTCTCTTAATCGTCGATTTTCAAGCACCGTCTGAAACGACTGGAATTATGTGCGAACAACTCTAGGTTCTCGACTTATGTCGTTCCACAGCTACCGTATTCGCCTGATTTGGCTCCGTGCGACTTTTGGCAATTCAACAAATTCTAAACGTTAATGAAGCGACCCCGATAGGATTGTGGAGATTAAAACTGAATAGATGAAGATCTTGAAAATTATACCGGGAAAGACTATTCCGATTGTTTCGAGGGCCGAAAAACCGTTGTAAAAGTTCGTTTTATCGGATGGGCACTATTTTTAAGGGGATAGATTTTATTTAGAAGCATATACTATATAAAGAACTCACCTTTTATAAAAACTCGTCTTACTTTTGCTCAATGAGTATATACTGTTTTAACCCATGAAACTAACTGACTTTGGCATTAAACAAAATTATGGTTGAGAAATTTTTTGAAAGCAATTCATATATAAAATCTCACAAGTTGACAGATATTTTCGGTATAAAGTCGGCAAAAGGCATTGAGGTTATCATATTCGGTGTCTGAGGGATTGCAAAATATAGTTCGATTTCGACTATTTTAGGATGGGAGGTACTACATTCGGTCTCTTATAGAATTTTATAATTTTTCGATTAACTACTTTTTGTAGGCGTGGCAATGGTCCAATATTCCTCATCTGTAATACCAATCTCCGCAGGGTACCAAAGAATATAAATACCAAGTTTCACCACGAGTTCCCAACTTTCATCAAAGTTACTTTTGGCAGCGACTGATTCCAAAGAAGTCTATATCTATGATCTCCACACATGCATATTAATGTTTAATATGCTAAGACTCATTCATTGCCTTAATTAGCTAACCATTTCATTATTCCTATGCATTCTTTCTCAAATTGCCAAAGCTTAATTTACTGAAGAGCTATTACTCTCGAGATAAAATTTCTAGTCATATATTACTATTTATTGAAATATTACTTAAATGTAATTACAAATTTTGAAAATTGGCAATTCACTGGCTTTTCCTACTTCAGTCAAGCCAGACTCCCGCTGAAAGAAATTACATCTAAAATTGCTTGTCCTTTCATTCTTCGCTATAAAATCACAGCAAAATTGTGAAATTTGCTGATAACCAAGCGCAGCTTAGCCAAGCTTGTATGTACACACCACTTTCACACGAATATCCCTCGACTTCGATCCACACACATACATCCTCTAATTTTAGTGTATGGAGCAATTTTGCTGCTCCCCATCTGGTGCTCGTAGATGTCAGCCAAGCTTTCGAAGTTTAAATTAGCTACCATCTGCAAGTGAAATAAAGTGAAAATGCAATATGTCGATGTATGTAAGTTGGCTTTATGCTTAAAGAGACGAGTATCAGCATTTGCCAACAAAACTGAAAAAATTTGTAAAAAATCCGAGAGAAAATTAGAAAATTCCGAACAACAAAAGGTTGTTGCACAAGAAATGGATGAGTGGTGATACACACATAACCGTGTACATATGTGAGTTGGACAACTTGAAATGCTGCAAGCAGTGAAAATAACGTACAATGAGAATGTTTGTTTCTGAACATGTTGAGCTACTGCTAAGTTAGTGTAATTGAAATTGCTTTACCAAAGGCGATGACATTCGAATAGCAAGGAGAGAGGCGGTATCATTGTGTAAGAACAAATCGTTGTATTTGTAGTGCAAAGTTATCAGTAATTTAATAAAATAATCACTGCAATCTTTTCAATAGAAACACTCAGTGATAACAATGAAAAAGCGAGAAGACAATAGATACATACATAAAGCGGTGATGTGAAAATATGTTATGTTATAAAATCGTATATATAAATAGACAATATAATTTCGATCGCAAGTGGTCAGCAATTCTTATTTTAAATGTTAAATTATAACAGAAAATTTTACGAGATTTGTATCTGCTTTTCATCAGAGGACTTTAATTTAATTGTAGAGACTATACTTCAAAATGACGAAAAGAGTTCACAGTCTTCCATGAAGTGAACGCTTTCTGTAAGATTTGTCATGTCAAATGAAGAACCTTTTCAGATGACATAAGTTCACTTATATCACATTTCCAACAGCAGCAGAGAGTCTCATAGAGCTAAATAGACGAATAAGCGGTCACAGGAAATAATAAACACTGTTTCTTATTAGGCCACAGTCTAGTTGGAATATGCGTAGGTTGCCGTTTTTTAGGATGTAGCAACACTTTTTGCAATCTGAAAACGCAGAATTTTACACTAAAGTTTGATATTTTTGATGGTATGCTTACTCAGAACGTTTTGTCGTACGAGCACTAATCACGAAAATTTTCAAACGATTATTTTTTACAGCTTTTGACGTGGATTAACTCATAAAGAGTACATAGTTGAATCTTATTGAATTTTTGACGATGAATCTGTATCAAAAACCATTGTTTTTCGATGGTATCGTAAATTCAGTCGAGGTCATAGATCACTCCAAGACGCACCACGTTAAGGGCATCTAAAATCAGCTGTTGTTCCTAAAACTATTGATGATGTGCGCAAGCTTATATAGCAAGATCAGATATAAAGTTAGGACCCCCTTTGCACAGAAAAATTAAAGTTTTATTCTAAAGCCCTTGGCAACACAAATACTGACTTAGGAATTAACGACACGTATTGGGGTTTCCAATATTTTTTTTTTTTTTTCATTGTATTCAGCTATGTTTATAATTTATTATCAAAATAATAGCTCTCCAATTGTAACTTTTCGTGCGCTTTTGCCATTTATGGTCGTAATAATCGTTCACCTGTGCTCGCTATTCGTTGAGTTTTTGAAAATTTCGAGCGTACATTTTCTTAATATAATACATATTTAAGCGCCATTAAGCAAAGAACCGCACGCAGGAATGAAAATATTGCTGCCAAGACCTTCTAAAGAATTGGGACTGTTTTAAACTCGGATTTTGTGGAAGGACTCTTTGCAGAAAATTGTTCTTCTTCAAGAACTCCACCGATTGGATAACCGTAAACGTTGTGAATTTGCTGATTTTGTCTTGGACAACGACTTAAGAAAATCATCTTCTCCGATGAGGCTCACTTTTAGCTGAATGTTGCGAGAAAGAAACATAACTGTCGATTCTGATGCGAAGAAAATCCCATATTATTAATGAACAACCATTACTTTCACCTAAACTGACGGCTTGTTGTAATTTTCGATCTGTTGGAATCACTGGTCCGTACTACTATCAATTGAGTGCGATATAGAGCAGTGATAAGCAACTTTTTAAGGCCGCAGTTGATCTTTACAACGTCTAGTTACGGGGCTACGTGCCACACAGCACGTGCAACAACCAAATTACTGTGAGAAAAGTTTGGAGATTCGATTATTTCAAGTAAAAAGAAAGCCTTTCAATTGTATCCATAGAGTTGTAAACTAACACTATTAGAGTACTTCCCGTGATACTATTTGAAGTCATTGGTCTCTAGCAATAAACTTGACTCTCTTCAATCTTTAGAAGTCAATATTAAAAGTGCCATGAGAAGTACTCGAAAATTGTTTGGAAAGAAATTATATCACTGTTGTTGGGAAACCCTGTATATAGAGTTATCGTGACCTCTCTTATAGACCAGAATAGAATAGAGACATAAGTTATATTTCCTCTTATTAAGCGCTGAAAATATCATACATATAGGATATTTTTCCACCCTTATACAAAGATTTATTTTTACTTGCTATAACGTCTGGCTCGAATAAACCACTGTACCAAACAAATTACCACTTAAAAGCAAAACAACAAAAAGCAACAGAACACAAATGCGTTACAAATCTGCCACAATTACAATTGACAACTTAATCAATATACCGTTTTGTACAACATCTTGCAGATGCTAGCTGTGAGGAAAGTGATACCATAAGCAGCACCTCCTCCACACCCACACCGGCTGAATTGCCTACATTGCCGCCGCAGCCACCGCCAAGCGCCACAACCACTGTGCTGAAGCCAATCCTAAAGAAACCCTCAACAGCTGCGCCACAATATCAACAAATGCACCCACAACAGCAACAACAGCAGCAACATCTGCAGCATCATCCAAGCCAGCATCAACAGCAAATGCAACTAAATACATTAAAGTCCACAGGACCAGCAGCGGCGAACAGCGCCACCGCCCAAACAAATGTCTGTTGCAAAGACCAAATGCTGCCACATCGCGCGCTCCCCCAACCACCGAAAGGACGCGGCTACGGCGCATACCACACCAAAGATTCCGTACTGCAGCGTGTGCAACAACAGAGCGGCCTACTTTCCGGCAGTCGCACAAATCTCAACACGCTAAGTGGCATGTTAGGATCAGCGATAAATCTCGCCGGCATCGGAGGCGGCCTGTGTGCGAACGCTAACTCGGGCATTGGCAATAACGCGGCGGCGACGGCGACGGCTGGTGCGCCCATCGAAATGTCGTGCGGAGGTGTTGTGGGCGATTGTGTTGGCAACAATATGGGCGGTGAGTTGCGCTACAGCAACAGTATTTACTTTGATGCGACGACAGTAAAGCCAGCAGGCTCGGCTGACGTGGGCGCCGAACTTCAAATGGCGTTGGTGGGGGGTACGCCAGCTTGTTGTGCGGCGGCCAATACGGCGGCGCCACCCACCACCATCGCCAACACCAACACGGGAAACACTGCCGCTAATGTAACCAATAACTTGTTGTACATGGACCTGCATACGGCACATCCGACACACCCGAAAAGTTCGACGTCAGTAAGTAAATTCAGCGATCTATTAAATGCTGCCAGCGCAAGTTTTGTCAACGCCGTCGCAGCGCCGGCTATTAGCGCAAACGCCAACAACAGCAACAGCAATCATAACGGTGCCATAGCTGCTGCGGTCGCATTGGGCAACACTGGACGCAGTAGTGTCAGCGTAAGTACAAATACAAACACACACACACGTATATATTTAAATGTGGGGTATTTAAGCGGTCGGGAGTGTGTTTAAAATGCGTGTTAATAACGCCGGTTGACTGTAGGATTTATTGGATTTCTAGAGCATCACAAATGTAAACGCTGTTCGGCACTGTGCGCCCGCATTCAATGCATTCAGCCAAACGAGTATTTAAAACAGGATATCATTTACATGGACTCTTTCAATTAATTGCATGCGAACGAGGTCAGTGTTGAATTGAATTTGCGCTGAGCTCCGCTCGCTTGAGCTGCATTGTGCGGCGGGCGTGAATAAGTCAATGTGAGAGCAAAGAGTTGGCATTACATAAAATAGCAGTTGAAAAGCGTATTTATATTTCAAATTTCGTTTCACCAATTAATTGGGTCAAATTACAAGTTTACACCAAATGAGTTGAATTATGGTGGATTTCTATGGTATGGAAATATTAGTGCTTTCGAAATATGGAGAGAGCGGCTTAAAGCATCGGATAGCAAACCGTTCGATACCAAAATGCAAAATGCTTGTAATTAATTATTTATTTAACATTTCGAAGCTTGGAACATATTTTGTATTTTAAATACAAATGACAATAGTTAGAACTGTCAAATATTAAAAAGGACACACATTCATTGCCTAGTTAACAACAGCGCTGCAGTCGTTTCTTCTTTCCCAAGTGTAATCTTTCTAACAGGGTGTAGGACTTCCTCTTTCTCTGCTTCCAAAGGCGGCTACTGATTTGCTGAACTATGTCAATGTCGCCCTATATCTCTTAAATTTCATTTCATCGGACGCCATACTCGCCGTTGTCAATACGCAAAGGATCATAAATCTTCCGCACAACTTTTATCTCGAATAATTCTAAGGCCGACTCATGAGATCATTGTCCATTCCTCCGCACCCTATAGTCCGGCTTGTAGAGTTGGGTCTCTGTTCATCGACAGAGAAGTTTACTTTTCAATTGCCTACTCAATCCAAAGTACATAGTACCAGTTGGGAAGAGTGTTTTTGTGTTGGATTTCAAGGCTGATATTGTTGTTGATGTTGATGCTGATGCTGTGACTTGGGAGTTAAGTTGCGAGTGCGAAGGCTGTTTGTTTGATGACAGGGGATCTTTCGTCTTGCCATCGTTCACTACCAGATCCATACGCTTCGCTTCCTTATCCATTTTGGAAAAAGCGGAACTAACGGCGCGGTCGTTATGGCCAATATATCGATGTCATCAGCACACTCTTATAGAAGATTGCTCCTTCTCTATTCAGCTTTGCAGCTCGAATTATTTCGCACGAAAGTGAGTTGAGTTGTCTAAAACCTCGTTTGGTATCGAACGGCTCAGAAAAATCTTGACGGAGCTATTGCTCAGTTTACACATCCGTAAAAGATTTTCAGAAATACTAAATTCAGACATAGCGGCATAAAGGCAGTTCGTTTTCGTGATGTCAAAAGCAGCTTTAAAATCGACGGGGAAGTGGGAAGTGTCTATTCTCTTTGTCAGTTGTTGATTTTCCAGGCCTGAAGCCACGCTATCTAATCAATTTGTTGACAGAGGTCATGCTTTCGAACAACCATATTCTACAAAGAAGTTGATGAGTACTCCTTATCAGTTCTTCGCCGCCGTATGTGAATAGCTCCCCATAGACGCCCGTCGCTTTGTTGTTCATCAACCGGGTAATTGCTGTTCGATTATCTTTTCGCCGCATCTTTTCGTAGAAGTTTCGAGCATCATCCCGGTCGGACCGCTTGGCAAGCACTAGTAACGTTGCGAGGTAGGCAATATGTTTTCTCTCCTCAGAGACTATTTTGTCCTTTTCATTGGGGTGTTGTTTTTAACTATTCGGGTCCCAAACCCATCGCATACCTCTGAGAAGGGACGTTTCACCTTCAAACGGATGTTTTTTGGTTATCCAGAAGATACTTGGTCTAAGACCTGATGTTGAAGCTGTTGGAGTGAATAGGAGAGAACTTTCATCACTTGCGTGATCTTCAACCCCGACGCTATAAAATCCCTTTTCAATTCACTAACTAAGCAGTAAATAATATTCGAATGATTTCTTTTAAAAAAATTTGGTATAGCTAGATATGTATATATATCACTCACATATAAAATGTTGAAATCCTTAAACTTTTCCAGACCAAGCGGGTGCAAAAATCACCATTACTCGCCAGACGTCGTTCCTCATCAATCGTTACAAATCTATTGGCTTCCGATGTTAGCTATAATCGCGGTGAAGGTACAACTTTAGCAGATATTACAAATTTGAGAAATCATCATGCAACAACAATGGATGGCAGTACAATAAATTTAACGCACAGCGAAACACGGTAAGTAATAAGAAAAATATGTACGGATATATAAATATTAAGGGGAAAAATATGAGCATAATGGAAGTGAACAGAGCTAATGTCAAAGGGAACAACCGAGTATCAATTGCAGCAAAATCTCTGTTAGCAAAGGCTTATCAATTTATTAATTCTGTACTCCAGATATGGTTTCAATCACTGAGAATGTTATTTTTCTGAAACTCAACTGGATTCTTTTGAAATAAATAGAAAATAATTCAAATATGATAACTAAAAACATTGACTACGCTTTTCCCCCTCTTTCAAAATAGTTGCGACAAAAAAGGGTCAATAATCGTTCGTGATTTTGAGTTAAATATAATATAACTGTGGTTAAATTTTTTTCTTTTTTGATGCGACTTCCTTACTTTCGTTTTGTATGATGAAATTTATTGGAGAAATAAGAAATACAACAAAAATTAACCGAAAAAAATTTACGGGCGATCTGTGGTCGGGTAAAGGAAGGGGGAAAAGCTGGTTGAATTTTAGGATGAAATACGTTTTATCGCGATTTCCGAAAAAACTGCGAATTCTTTGGATAAAAGTTTAATGGCAAAGTGTCAGATAATAAACATATTGTTAATACCCGAGACAGACATGTAGTAACAATACCATAAAAAGGTGTAATGGTGTTCTGTTTGCTACGTTGGTAACACGCAAGGCAATGTAGTAAACTCAAATACTAGCTTTGTTTCATAGGCATTAAATATATCAAAAAAAATTGTAAGCAATAAATATGTTGTTGCGTGTTATGGAGAAAATAAGTTCAATTATTTAAAATACTCTAAAGTTAATCTATTTTCATCGTAAAAAAGCGATTTGGTTAAAATTTCTCTAAAATCCTCACATAAAATGATTCATTTCCTGCTTTTCCGGAAGAAAAATTGTGAAAAATTTTTTGTTTTCCATTTCATTAATATATTTTTTAAGTCATTTTGACAGAATATTGCGAAGAGCTTTTGTGTAAAAGCTTTTAGAAAAGTTTTTTACTTGTTTTTTAGCTGTGTTTATACATATACCACAATGAAACATCATAGTATTGTTACCAGCAAAATACTACACTGCTCATATGGTATTTTGCTAGTATTTGGTAACACACATGTGGTATTTGTACCATATATGGTATTGTTACTACATTTCTGTCCCGGGTATAAGTTAATTTTTAGTGCAGATACTGGGTAGTTAACGGTATTCAGAAAATTCACATTATATTCTTAGTATACTCTTTAGTGCAGGTGAGTTTTTGCGCAACCAAGTAAGTAAGAGAAAATATCAATAAAATAAATATAATAAAGATCAATATATTGGTGTCTAATAACTAGCCAGAAAAGGCATTAGTTCCAACTAGTTGTTCCCCAAATTGCAGGAGTTCAATCATATTCATTCGTTTCCGCTATACTTTTAAATTGTAAATATAATAACTTCTTCTTCAATCATAATCTCAGCCATACATAATCTAACTTTACCCTTTAGACTCAAAAAAGCAATGAATTAAAGTTTTAATTCCATTAGTCCGGCACAGGTAAAGAGAAGAAGTTGAAAGCAGAAGCAGTAGTGAAATAATGAAGCAAACAGGAACATAGGAAAAACGCCCAAAGGCTTAGCATTCACTTCCTGATAACTTGCTACAAAGAAAACGTGTCCGCTGCAAGAAAGAAGCTCTTGCAGCACAAAGATTAAAATTAAAGAGCAGACAAATTTACAAAAAATACAGAGAAAATTAATATATAAACAGTTTTCAGCAATTGAAATGAGGCAACAGAGAGGATTTGTTTTAGAATTTGAAAAACATGTTTTAAATTACAAATTTGCGCAACACCAAGTGTACGGGTTTACTTTGACAGAACTACTACGAAAGGGAATGATCAGCTCATGAACCAATTTATTACCCCCCTATACCTTTGTGACCCGGCACCCCGATTGAGTGCGCTTGGTTACGTTCCACTAGACTATTCAGCCGTTCTATATACTGCTGCACCAGTAGCGATTTGATCTCATAGGCAGAGATTGCTTTAAGTGCCGCTTGACTGTCACTAAGTATGGTTATTGGTACGTTGTATTTTAGTTTTATCTCTACGTATCGATTTATAACGAAGACTTCTGCTTGAAAAATGCTCAGAAAACTTCCCATAGGTATAGAAAGTTTCCTGCGACTGCTGCACCAATTCCCTTCGTCGGTGTACCACGTCATTGAACTATCTCTAAGCAGTAGCTCAGCAGTGGAATCATACCATTCAGCCATTGTTGAACGTAGTTTATCCTTTCGCAATGCTGTCCCTTGGGACAATAAACCATGCCTAATTTGGTGAAGATATCTCGTCAGTTCAGTTGTATGACAGCTATATGCAATAGTTTCCCGGTATTCTGACAAATGAGCTATCTCTTGAGAAAAAAATGAATGTACAAATTGTCAGGGGGATATCTCAAAGTTTGAGGGACCCATTCACGTATATATAGATGGATATGGCTAAATCAACTCAGTTCGTCAGGTTGATAATTAATATATATGTATTCTTCATAGGGTTTCGAATGTTTTCTTTCTTCTGGGTATTACAAACTTCGTAGTAAACTTATGTACCCTGTGCAGGGTATAATTAACGATAACTCTCTAGATCTCAAATGAAAACTCATTACATAAATGGAAATCGTATAAAATTTTCACCTCAGAATGGCAGTAAGGACAATTTTTATACAGAAAACATCAAAGTTACACCACATTAAATGCGTCAAAATTGTTTAGTGAGAACTTCAAATCGTTAAAGACACTTTACACCACAAACCATAATTGGTAGTTACATTTCATGCGACCACAAAAGCCTATGACATGACTCCCCAACTGCGCCGTAAAGTGAATGTGCTAAAACTTTTCTGAGTATACTCGTGCATTGCAAACTCTGCACGCATGCAATAAACCATTAAAGACACGCTCAAGCTAAATGCCGCAACAATGTCCACTTCGTGGGCGCAAAAGTGCTTCCGCTACTCACTAAGCGCACCTGCAGAAGTCGCTCTTGCCAACAATTTAGTAATGCAATTTTTGCGGAATGCTTTTTGAAGTATGCTTTACCGTTAAGACTGCATATAGTTTTATACATGTACATATGCTCTTATGCACTTGCCATTGTTAGTATGCATGTATGCTCAGGCTTTGGAATGTATCACACATTCTACGCTATGCATTACTCATACGCCTAGGTGGGCGCACACATACGTAAGTACGGAGCCGAGCTTATTGATATTGCGTGCAACGGCCAGCAATATGGTTGCCATATTTATTAGATGGCGTGCACAACCTTTTCTGGCATAATAACCATTGGGCAAAGCACACACACGCCCACATCCGCTATCCCACACACACGCGCGCACATAGTTGCACGCAGAGGCGAGTACTCAAGCACAAATATGGATAAACTGAGTTTATGTGGCGTGTACACAGCACAGTAAAGCACGTGTCCATGCGGCGATTCATGAAGCGGCCGTTTAAAAAAAAGTTTGGGCTTGAGGTGGAAATAAAGTAAAACCATCGACGGCGAATGCCTGCAAGAGAACGGATATGAAAGAGCAATCAAAAGGGCAACCGTGCCGTGACTACCAAAGTAAAGACTGACGAGAGCGCCAAACAAAAACTGTTGATATTAGGATACTGAAACAGAATGGCCTTAATGCACTCAAAACTTGCAGTATGTCAAATGTGATTATGTGACGGATAAAGTACAAGTAGCAGGCTTTTTTAGGACATTTCAGATATATTAAAAGAAATATTTAAAAGCTTTCCCAGTTCCAGCTTGATAATATGAAAAATGTTCATAGTTTAAAACATTTTTAACTATAAAATATAGACACACATATGTATGTTTAAAAATATTATCTAGTGCCGAATAAAACTAATTTCAACAGCATAGAAAATTCTGCAAAAACTCCAACTTCTTTTTTATCATACCGTCTAGCAGTACATATATGTTGTCAACTCGCTCAGTTTTGGAAAAACTGAAATCTAGCTCACGTACCTTTCCCAAAAGTTGAAAAGATTTGCAGAAAAAAAAATAGAGGCCGAAATGCGCAAATATGAAGAGATTGACAAAGATGCAGCGACTAACAGAAGGTTTCAAGGTGATCTAGTGACTGATGTCCAGAGCATATTGAAATTATGGAGTGAACACTTCTCCAACATACTAAATGGCAGAGTAAGCAAAACAGCAGGACACCAGGCGATGGTTCCATTTCCAGATTAAAAAAAAGTTCGAGAAGCAATTACCCGTCTGAAGAAAAACAAAGCGGCAAAGAACTGATAAGCTTTTTTTGTAGACTATAGTTGGACGAAAGCATGCCCGACGATTGAAATTTAAATGTGGTCTGGGAAATCCACAAAAAGGGAGACCCCACAATCTGCTCCAACTATAGTGGGATAAGCCTACTCAATATCGCATATCGAGCGTATTTTGTGTATACGTGAAAAGATGATCGACACACACCACCTTTTCATCGATTTCAAAGCAGCTTTTGACAGCACGAAAAGCAGCTCCCTTATGCTGCGATCTCTGAATTTGATATCCCCGCAAAACTAATATGGCTGTGTAAACTGATGTTAAACAATACCAGAAGCTTCGACAGTATCGGAGAGGACCTTTCAAAGCCATTCGATACCCAACGAGGTTTTAGACAAGGCGACTCCCTAACGTGCGACTTCTTCAATGTATGTACTACTGGAGAAAATAATTCAAGATGTAGATTTGAATCGACGAGCACCATCTTTTATAGATATAAGATTGGCGTTACGACTTTTGGAGAGAACGGGTCTGCGAAAGATTTATAGTCCTTTGAGCATTGGCAACAGTGAATATCGTATTCGATGATGAGCTGTGTTAGCTATATGACGACGTGGACATAGTTTAGCGAATTAAGAGGCAGCGGCTATGCTTAAAGAGGAAGAGGAAGAGGAAGAGGAAGAGGAAGAGGAAGAAGATAGAATTTTGAAATTAAATTAAGTCCAATGATGAGAGTGGGAGTGTTCTCTGCAAAGCCAGACTCAGTCTAGACCACTTCAGTGTCTTTCAAGCTGAGATGAGAATAATTAAAGAAAACCTTCTTGTTCTGACAAGAAGTTTTTTCACAAAAAAAATCACTAAAGCTTCTAAGATTTTCGTCAAAGTTAGTGAAGGAATGTCTTGATCACGATTAACCTCCGTTGATCTCCAGGGCATAGTAATATCGCAAGGAACTGTGAAGCAAAGCCAGAAACATGCCCGACCCTACAATTAGACTCACAAAAAGTGGATATACTACACAAATATATGCCTGTGACTATATGTAGATATTTAATTGCCAAACAGACTTATTATAAACACACCCGTGTCTCCCTGAATTGCTTAAAAGGCAGGTAAACGTGATATGAACGAGCCTCATAAAGGCTTAGAACTCGTGAACTCAGCTTCTGTCAGATTTTTGAAACAATTAATTAACATTCCTTGTGACATTTCTCGATCCAAAGGTAATGAATTATTGTCAAGAAATTGCTGATATTGAAAAATCAGGCTTCTTTGAGTGTTGTCCTGTTGTGCTAATTTTGAATACTTTTACTTATTGACTATTTTCCAAAGTGTTTAATGACTGTAATCTACGAATTAAACATTTAATTTTCTAAAATTTTCACCTACTTGAGCCACCAAAGCTAAAGTATGCTTACATATGTTGCTGTCCTTGCTTGTAACTCCCAGGTGAGATGCAAGCGTTAGTTCAAAGATGAAAAACAAAAGCTGAATGAAATTTATTTCTCTTGCAATTTGATTGAATTCACTCTGATGCCTTAAATAAACAAACATCTATTTACATTTCCGCCAACTAGCCAAACACAAAAAACCCGAACAAGCAATATAATGCTGCTAATTCTCATAGCCATAAAGTTATTTAATTAAATTCCATAGCATTTTATTGTCAGCAATTGCACTAACAATTAAATTTACACATTCACAGTGACCGCATCACGTTGGCAAAATCACCGGTGAGCGGCAAACCGACACGCCTGCCCTCACTGCACTCCATGGGCATCGACAGTGGCGGAAATGGAAGCGGCAGCGGTAGTGGTAGTGGCAGTGGCAGCAGTGCCGGTGTGCTCACCTTTCAACAAGCCATGTCTGGCGCGGTCTCACCACAGTACTCTTCGGCCACACCGCTACTGTTTGGTGGCGGCGCCAGTGGCGCAGGCATTGGTGGCAGTATAGCCACAAATATGGATTTGCTATGTGGCTCATCGTCGGCACTCGCTTCGGTGTTGGAGGATACGTCAACAAGTGCTGGTGAAATGGTCAGTGACATACTCCAGACTGGTGATTCGCCAACCATGCTGAACCATCAGCATAACAACGCCGGTAACGGCAATGGCAACGGCAACAATAACAAGAATAACGGCTTGAATGATAGCCACTATGAACTAGATGTAATCGAAAGTGGCATTGGAAGCGTGGGCGCGGTCGTCAATGTGGGCACAAGCGGTGTGCAGCGTGCCGCCTCCAATATATTACACAGCAGTTCAGCAACCATTGCACAGCTGCAGGGCAGTCGGCAGCGTCAACGGATGCGCACCTCGAGTATGCCAGCTGAAAGTAGAAAGGTAAATATAAACTCAACGTAAAATTGTTTTTATGAGCCTAGGTCAAAATGAGTGCTTATATGAGTGTATGTGTGTGTGAATGCATAGTTAAACAGATGCTTGTTTTGTTATTGTTGTGAAAAATTCGCTGTTGGATAAATTGTTGCAAGAGAGGTTAAATTATTTATTTTATTAAGTTTTTAGGTATGACTTCTTCAAAATTTTTCTTTTTTATTATATATATTTTTTGAAAAAAAACCACTCAAAAAATATTTAAAAAAGGGTAAAAATGGATTCCATAAATTGAAACTGCAATAATTTCCAAACGGGTATATACGCACGTGCCACGTGGGCAAGCCTCCCTTGCAACAACTCACAAATTTAATAGCAAATATTTTCACAAAACAATGCAATGAAGAGCAAAGCAAGCAATGCAAACGCTTGCCTGGTTGATTCCGAGCTGTGCTTCCGTTTGACTCTTGATGACTTATTTGCAGAACTTCAGCGGACTTATTAGTTTTTTTAGTTGCCTCAGCATGTACTCACTTCAGTAGTAGATTTGTCTTGAATTAAAGCTAATTATGAAATATTGTCCTTCTGAGGCAAGCTTTTCCTTCTCAAGAATTTAATTTCTGTCCCAAGATGAGAACTTTTTGCTTTAACAGCAAAATTTTTTTTAATTGCATATCACATTCGAATACCAAAGAACCATTTGGTGCGTTGGAGTGCACTAACGCCGTTTCCTCAATGTCTGGTTAGTAGCCATATAACAGTTAAGTTCCTTCCTCTGCTTCCCCCGGCGGGTACTACGTCGAATACTCTCAGATCTTGAATTCCTTTTCCATTCGGACAACATGACTTAACTAGAATAACCGCTGTCTTTTAATTCCCTGAACTATGTCAATGCTGTCGTATGAATTTTTCATACAGTTTATCGTTCTATCAACTGCGGTATTCACCGTTGCCTATGATGTCATCGTCCATGTCTCTGCACCATATAGCTGAACCTGGGAATGATGAATGACTTGTAGAATTCGGTCTTTGACTGCGAATACGTCTCGGATGGTCAAATTATCTGCTCACCGAAGTGTTCACGCAATAAATTCATTGATTGATGCGACGTTTGAGAAATGGTGCAGTCTTATTGAAACCAAATATCCCCAAGATCACGAGCTTCAATTTCAGGTATCAACTAGTCGCTCATCATGGCGCGATAACGGTCACGGTTACATTCTCTCCGGCATCATTTTTGAAGAAATATGGACCAATGACGAAACCCGGTCCACAAATTCTACCATTTCATTGTTTTTACTGGATGAACTGTTACTTCTTGAGTCTCTTCCATTAGCTCTTCGTTCCAGAAGTGGTAATTTTGTTTATTTACATACCCATTGAGTCAGAAATGGATCTCATAGCTGAACAAAATTTTTCTCGAAAACGTCGGATCTTCTAGAAACTTTTCAAAAGCCAATAGAGCGAAGCGATGTCGCTTGGGAAGGTCGGGTGAGGCTGCAGTGGCTTTGATTCTGGCAAATTGCAAGGGTAAAAAATGTTCGGTTGCACCCAAACTTAGCCCTTTCTTACCAGTATTTTTTCTGTTTTGATGCTTTGTAGCCAAATTTGACTTTAATGTCTCTCAGAGAAGGCGTTTGTAAAATCGCACCAAACCTTATATAAGAAGTTATTTTAAAGAAACTCCAACAACTACTTTGCTAGTAATACAGAATTTGAATTCGCAATGTTGTTATTTTCAAATAACTGTCTCTGTGTTGGTACAAATTTATATGAAATTTTTATAGACAAAAATATTACAACTTTATTGCTGCTCTGTTTGTACAGTTTGGCTTGTTTACTTTCAATTCTGGACTGACGGCTTCGCATGAATTTCGAGAAAGAACCAATTGGCATAGTGTTGGCTCGATGTCCGCCACAAATTTAATATTCAGCATTCATGCAGCAATTTTTATTTTACATTTTTCTCCAATTTATTTGACGCTTTTCGGCAGTACTACCACAGTTAAGCTGCTTGTAATATGAATCCAACTGACAGCAATCTCTGCCGCCCGACTGAATAGCTCAACTCTCAGCACAATTTATGCAAGCACATTCACATATACATACATGGACGTGAATATATATAAATATTTATATGTATATATGTGTATGGTTTTATTTTTAACAAGAACACAAAACACACACACAAGTTTAACTGCAGCTGTTTTTTATCAAGTAAATATGCGAGTGTGTGCATGCGCTTTTGCACACTTTTGTGTTTACCTTTTTTGTCGTTTCTTTATCAAATTTCGCTTATGCATACTCATTCGACCATACACACAGACACGGGGACTCTTGGAGAATCCTCGTTTTTAGGTCAGCGAACCTGCAAAGATAAATAAAAATATTTAAATCAATATTTGACTCGCCTCAGAGCCAACTATCAGCTATGTAAACGCTTGGGTGCGCACGAAAAACCCGAAATATCATATTCCAAATCATGGTAGTGAGAAAATTGTGAATTTATTGCATCAGTTGTTCACTGACAAAATAATTTGAATGTGTGTGTTGCACGTGGCTTACTAGAGCATATTTATTTTAAATGCCTACACGGGGGTATTCCAATAGTTATGCCGCATATAAAAGGAAAACAAAAACGGAACGTATTCTTCTGTTTATTTCTGAACATATCCGTTTAATAACTATTGTACTATTCCGGTGGGTTCTGATGTTTAACTTTTGGAAACAAACCCTCAAAAAATTTTAACTTCGGTAAACCAAAACTACAGTACATTTCACAAGGTGTATTTCTGTTTATAGTGTTAAGAGGGTACAAAAAAATCTTTATCTTTATTTCGGTGGACCAGTTTGAATATGCTATCGATCTGACCTAAATACTTGGTTCTGTGATAATAACATTACCTTGGATAATAATCTATTCAAATTTCATGAAGATGTCTTGTTATATAAATAGCTTTCCATGCTTGAACTTGTATGAGAACTTTGTATGAGAACTTTGTATGAGAACTAAGACTGCAAAAATAGGATTGTGGCAGGAACTACTCGACCAATTTCAATCAAATTTTCTATGTAAAGTTACTTAAAAACTCCTTTATTTACTTTTAAATCGGAACAACCACTCACATTTGCCATATAACATAACTTTAAATTCCATCTGAATCTTTCAATTCCAGTCTACAAATCAAACACCAACGAATATATAGGGGCAAAATTTTGCACAAGTAGTGCCCTTAAGGTATTTAACCTTGTGTTCAAAACTTGTTGATATCAGACTATAAGTTTTCAAGGACCCGGACACTAAATATCTGACAGCTCTTGTGCCAAAAATAGTTAAAAACGAGGCAATACCTTTCTTAGCCCCCATATACTACATACCTTGTATAAAATTCTATTAGATTTTCTAACTTCCGGTTGACTTTTATCTGAAACCTCGTTTGGTATCGAACGGCTCGGAGAGGTTCCTCCCGATCCTGACGGAGCTTTGATGTTGCTCAACATCAGTTTACACAGCCGTATTAGTTTTGCGGGGATACCAAATTCAGACATCGCGGCATCACGCTGTCAAAAGCAGCTTTGAAATCGACGAAGAGGCGGTGTGTGACAATCCTCTTTTCACGGATCTTTTCCAAGATTTGACGCATGGTGCAAAACTGGTCGATTGTAGATTTTCCAGGCCTAAAGCCACATTTTTGGGCTTTAATCTTTCACACAGCACGCTCGATAGGGCTTTGTATGCAATGCTTAGGAGGCTTATCTCATGGTAGTTAGTGCGAATTGCGGGGTCTCGGTTTTTTGATTTGAGCAGTGCACTCTTAAACTTCAATCGTTGGGCATGCTTTCGTCCGACCATATTCTACAAAGAAACTTTATGCTCCTTCTCCTTATCAGTTCGTCCGGCAATCCATCGGCCTCCGCCGCTTTGTTATTCTTCAGACGGATGATTACTATTCGAACTCCACATTACTCCTAATAATAATAATATTTTTAAAAATCCACATATAATACCATCTTGCTCATTTCCAGGAGATTTCATTAAATAAATATTTCTTTAACTTGCATAAAATGAAAAAGTTTGCTGCCACATTCATCATATTCATATTGTTAGCAGGCTCTTCTCACTGACACAATCATAATAAACATAAAGAATAGCAACCTTGCCACATGAATAGACCAATGTCGCAGTCAATTTTTTTCATAACTTTCCAACTGCTTTTGATGTGCCTTTTCACAACAACTCATTTCATTATTCATACACTTCTAGTTCATCTTAACTAAGTATGCAACTAGACTCAGCCGAACACTTGCGGCTTCATTTTAATGTGATTTTGTTAGTGCTTTTATCCAGTACTCGTCTCTGTATGCTTATTTACTTGTAGCCACGTCTCGCCGATACGCGACGTGCAGCAATACATTGTGCCGACCTCGATTTGGAATATTATCGCTTGCGGAGCTTCAGCATCACGTCGCATGGTGTATGCAATTTGGGTGATTCCCTGCGGTAAGTAAACAGGCAGCCACATCAATAGACACGTTAGGCGGCTGACTAAATAAAACAGAATGTAGCGAGTGAAGCGAGAAGTAGTTGAAAATGTCATAAAGCAGACGTTAGTACCAACATAAAAAGATTATAAGTAAATATACCTAGAATTTTATGTACATATATACGTTTAGGGCAAAAGCAGGAGTGCTCATGAAGCAGACGCGACTTGACTAGACATAAGACATGCAGATGACGTTGAGGATATTCATGTCAGTTGAAATTAAATATTTAAAACGCAGCAGTATTTGCACAGAGGCACCAGTGTAATACTCACATATTGATATAAGAGCGGTACGATGAGTCCGTGATCATTTATAAAACAGTTTATTTTATGACCAGCATACGTCCAACGTCTCAACATATATTAATTACAATTTATGTATAATTTTCTCAAAATATCAGCATTACCCAATAATAGGTTTTTTATCTTTAAGGGGCTACTTTGGTTTCCTCTGGAAAAAACAGCCTTTTTTCAACAAATCTCAAATACAAAATGAAATATTTTTTTTTAGTTTTTTTATCATTACAAACATACACTATTAGCAAAGAAATTCTGAAATTTTTGAAAAAAAATTTAATTTCGGCCATCCCGATGGCATTTTCGCTGACCCTTCATAAAAAAGATGCGCCCGTGTTGGCAGTATAACTCATTACAGGATCCTCTACAGTGAAAAAATATTTGTTTTAGTTAAAAACTTAATTTAGAACTTGGACAAAGGCAAAAAACTGAAAATTGAATTTTGATAGAAATTTTTACTCAAAATGAAAATTTCGCAACATATTTTTTTTTAAAGTTGTAATCAAAAAAAATTCCTTAATTCAAATTCAGAGACATGTGTAAAGTTTTACAAACGACTTCAAAAACACAGATTCAATAAGTACGCGTTTAAAGATGTCGCTCTTAGCCCCGCTTGCCTCAAGCGCCCAAGTTCTCAAGGCTGTATCTCCGAAACTGTTACTGTGATCAACTTGAAAATTTAGGACAATATTCTAGAGATGTTGTAGAATTTAATAAGTTAATAAAAAAAACTCGATCTCTGAAACTCGTAAACCCATGTAACCCCTCAAGTGCTCAGCTACTCACACTTATGTTGATACGATCGAAACAATCCTACAAATCCTAGAATACTTCTGAGCAAATTTTGCAGTAGTTGCTACTTGGCAGCCTCCATAACTTAACTAAATGACTTATCATACTCAATTTGGTTTTGTACATGGTACATGACAGCCAACAGCTTGTAAAACATTAAATTTGGACACGGTGTTATCAAACCGCCATCGTACTTGCATAAATACATACTCACTTACTGGAAGAAGCGTTTAAAAATTAAATTCTGATTTTAGCTCGGCACTCGCGTCTACAAAATTTTATGCCATCACACGTTTAATGCTTACTTGCTTTTCTCGATTTTTTCCATTTTGCGCACTCACAAAATCATCATTTGACGGCGTGTCAACCGCCGCCATCTCATCTGCTATTCATCTGCTATTCGCTCAGAAGCCGCCGATCACGTTCAATAAACTCGGTTACGTCGACGGGCACTTCCAACAGCGGCAAGGACCACCGGAACAACAGGTGCGTTTAATGCTATCAGATTGTTCTTAACTCAATTATGCTACTACGTTGTAATATATTCAAACGCCGTGACGACATGCACTACCCGGTATAAACACACCTATTTCAATGCAATTACAAGCATTTGATTTGTTGGTGTTTGTGGTTATTTAACTTGTTAAAAAAATCAATAAGCGTTTAACAGCATAAATGCCGTCGCCAAATTCAATTTTATCTATGTATTTACACTAATGCTTTACTGCGCCGTTTTTATACTGCCGTTTTCTCTTTCATTTTGCACAGCAATGCTTCACATATATCCGGTGAGAATATTTTCGAGTCTACCGAGAAACAGGATGCAGGCAAAGTGCCGATACCCGCCTATAAAATTGCAATGCTTGGCGCTTCTGGTGTTGGCAAAACGACATTAACCTATCAATTCACAACATCCGATTATATTTGTGCATACGACTTGAGTTTGGGTAAGTGTGGTATTTGCATGGCGGGAATGTGCCTATGAAAATATTGTATATGTATAAACGTTGTTGATGAATTTGCTTTTTGCATCCCAAAAGTGATTTTGTGTTGACTCATATGTTTGAAAAATGAAAAATTTATGATTCGCGTAGGCAAGTACTGATAATTATTGCTCATAAATGACCTTAAGTCTTATAGATAGACATTTATACACTATAAGTTAGAATTCTCTCTTTCAGGATTAATTAAACAAATAAATTTATTTACATATATGGGTCATTGCATCTAAGATTTACATTAAAAATTAAAAATTATTTTTTTGTTTTTATTAAAGCAAAATATTGGACACATATTTTAACTTGATGAAAGTAGTTAGGTTAACCTGAGGTTTGGTTCTTTGCGAATTTGAACAGACTTTGTTGCCTCATTACCGATACCTCCTCCAGTGTATCATACCATAAGGACACCAGATGCGAGACAATGCACAAAAGTTGTTCCATTGTTTGAATTTTATGTACTTCCGATCTACCGTTTTGCACATCACTTCTGCAGTTTTGCATCCACGTAGCTCGTTCAATTGGGTTTTGATTTTTTAACCATACTCCTGTCCAGATTGTCGTACCACTTTCGGATATTAACCGTACATCATTATTGACAATCTTGTCCGCTATTTTATTGCACCCCGATACCGTTGTGGCCTGGCACCTAGAAGTAGTAAAATTGCTTGCTTCTGACAACACTTTCCACAGCAGCCCAAGGCACTTCTGACTGATATGCAATTGAGGCTACTGCTTGGCTGTCTACGTAGATGTGGGCTCTGGAATTACCTGCAGCTACATTAGAGACCAGCTCTGCGACTTTCGCATTAGTAAAGACCTCAGCTTGAAATATATTGCAGTTGCCCGACAACTTAAAACGCTACCTTATGCCTAACTCTGAACAGCGTATTCCCGCAACAACTCCATCGTGCATTTTAGAGCCATGCATAGAAATGTGTAGAATGTTATGCGTACCTAACAAACCTTTATGCCAAAAACCTTTTTATATGTTTACTTTGAATCTTCTTTGCAAGTTGAAAAATGTATTCGGTGTTTTCTAAACCGTCATTACCCACCGTACGATCTATATGAAAATTCTTCAGCAGCCGGTAGTCATTTCGACGATTTTTCTGTGTAGTTTTCAGCAGAGAATTCTGTAGGTAGCAACTTTAGTACCAGCTCAAAAGTCGAAGTGGAAGTTATTCCTAAAGTTCCCGTTATGCACAGCGACGCGAGCCTCTGAACCCTTTCCACTGACTTCCAGTAGCTACGCCTGTTCACCATACTACTGCACTGTTGGTCTTACAATAGCTGTCTAGCACCAGTGCGTAAGAGAGAGAGAAGGAACACCCAGGTTGTGCCAAGCATCTGCCAACTCGCATATAAAGCAGCGTTTCCCAGTCTTTCTTCCACAGCTGTTTGCTATCCAAGACTACCGCAAGGTACTTGTTGGGGTTCTTGGGAGAGAGTTGTGTCCCTTTAATAAAAATAACCTCCACAGAGGAATTCTGTGCATTTTTGTGAACACAAGCAGATCTCTTTTCTCCGGGTTCATCCCCAGACCCACTTGCTTAATGCCCAATCCTCGACTTTATTGAGAGTGATAGTCGTAATACTGATAATGGTCTATAGACATCTCCTCGTTATTAAGATGGGTATGTAGTCCGCATATGCCACTATATAAGATGCCTTGCCGTCCACGTTTAGTTTATTCACCATTAATGTCCATAGAAGCGGAGATAGCACTCCACCTTGCAAAATACCTCTACAGACTTCCTTGGTCATTTTAGCGTCGTTCCATTCCGCTCTTATCCTTCTAGATTTCAAAAGGCTTCTTATCCAGCATTATATAGCAAAAACAATACTTATTGACCGGAAGTATAGTAATAATACAGGATTTTATTCAGTATATATTCCGTAGAGACTTTGTTGAATGCTCCATAAATGTCCGGAAATGCACAAGACCGTACTCCTTATATTCAAGAGCCCTTTCGATACTAAATACCAGTGTATGGAGTGCAGTCTCTACTGATCTGTCCTTCGTATATGCGCGTTGTGCCTTGGACAAGCTTCCAGGAGACGCTGCCTTCTTGATGAAGGTAGGAGAGAATATTTTTTACTTCGCAAAAACAAGTGGAAAATTATTTTGTTGTAATGTACTTGGTAGATACGATTGACGGTAATCTATACACCAGGCATTGAAGATAAAGTAGATGTCGAAAAAGTCATTCACCATAAATCCGATAGCTCTATAAACTGAGGCTTCGTCCACACCACAGTGAGGTCTATGTTATCAGAAATATTCTGCTATTTTATGTCACTATCTTTATTAACACCTGCAAATATAATATAACATAATCGATATCAATAATTAGGAAGATCTAATGTAGCCACACATAAATTACCTTGCATATATTGTAGCGCCGAAACGTGCACTACGGTATAATAATGATAGATATGAATGTATGTACATATGTACATATGTAGTATGTAAGACATACCTGCCACGCTCAATTCAGCGTCATTATACTAATATGAAAAGTTTGTAATTTTCTTTGCCGAACACCTCAGCACGTGATGTTTACGTATTTGTTAATTTCGATTGTGTTAATGGGATTTGCACATGCAAGACAATTTTTATTTCTGTTTTTCAACACCTATCTATGAGTATATTAGTATTGATAAAATTTGGTAAGTTTTCTGTTATTAAGCCAAAATTTGCTGAGTACCTGTTACTTTTTTGTTCGAAATATGGCATAAATACTCTTGGTAATGCTTTGTGATTCTAAGCTATTGCTTAGTCTCCCGCGAATGTTAATTTTTACTGTGTGGACATACAAATTCTTAAATATATAAGTAAAAATGTGGAATTATTCGGATTTGAATTTAAATTAGGTGCTCAGTTTCTCTAATTTTAATTGCAGTCTGGAAATGTAGGCTTACACAGGCTTGATTTACATTAGGGCCGCTTAAAGTCTTTGCATCATATTTCATACAATAAAAAATACTTGAAAAGGCTACATTTAGTTACCATGAAGTTTGTAACGTACAAAAGTGAAGGTCGGGGACGCTATAAGATTTCGATGAAGCCATGTCTGTCCGTCCGTCTGTACGTCTGTATGTATACGCAATAGTATTTCGATTTTTGAGATACCAATCTGAAAGTTTTCACTTATCTTTTCCTCCTCAAGAAGTTGCTCAGTTTTCTCAACCGCTGATATCGGATCACTATAGCATATACCAACACTACAAACTGATCCATCAAAATCAAATTCTTCATAGGAACCATTTGTATATGTAGAGACAGAAAAACTCAAGACCGGAGCATACTCTTGTAAAACCCCATGAGGTGTTCTTGTGACTGATGCCCAGAGCGTAATGAAATTATGGAGGGAACAAGTCGATGAAGAAGAAATGAAAATCTACACACATTGGAGTTGGAGATATCTTAACTTTTTTTAAATAAAAAATAATATTTTTTAAAGTTTCTAAGTATATTACATATAAACTTATCGGCATATAAAAAGTCACTGTATACCACTGCGTATGAGTAATATTGATTAATTTCATACTACACATACAATATTTTTTCTAACGCACTTTTTATTATATTAAAGAGCTTTAACAAATTGTGCATTAAAGAAATACTTTTGGAATTGATGAGTACTTCGCGTGAATGCTCAAATGGCAGTTTGCTGGTTTACATCTTCATTTATCTTATGCTTGCTGTAATCATCTCTATACTGCAAAGAATATATCAAAAAAGGTGTAAAGTTTTTATTGAATAGCAGTATAGCCTTAAATGCGAGCGTAAAAAATAGTTGCTGAATACATATGTTTGCAATCTATAAACACATATATACGGCATATACTTGCTGGCATATTATTGAACAAATTATTATGGCAATGATAATTTTTAGTGTCTTGAGTATAATAGTTGTGCTCACCTAATGGCTGCAAATCTACTACCTAAAACTAAACAAGATGTATATCGAGTTACATACTGAAAAGTAATCAGAATGACGAGGCGAGTTGAATGCCTAGTGAATGTTTATGGCCCGCCTATTGGTTTGTCGGGCAAGCGATAAGTTCAATAAAAATTCAGATGTCGTGTTGCAACTTAATACTCGTCTACAACGGTTATGTTGAAAATTACGAAAAGTACTATAGCTCACTAAATAAAAAGTGAAATTTTGCACACATCTTGAAACCGCTGATAGCGGACCACTATAGCATATAGCTAGCATATAAACTGGGCAACTGGAATCAAAAAAGAGAGAGAAAAAGATTTTTAGGAATTAGGAAAATAGGATTTAGGAAATTTATCATTGATAATTGTCTAAGGCAATGGTGTAATCTTTAAAGATATTGGTCAGATCGGATCACTATAACATATTGTACAAAAAAATTATTAATTTAACCCTTTCATGCCCAATAGTGCCTATAGGCAACAAATACATAAATACTTCTCAGTCGTAGAGTGAAATTGTCAAGTTTAAAATAGCTTTATTGTAAAACCAAAACATAATAAATACAGCTAATATAATTATTGAAAATAAAAATAAATCATTGGAAAAGTGTTTAGTTTGTTTCAAATAATTTTGTAAAAGTGATGTCTATTTTCAACATCCTGTAACTAACGAACCGGGACACTCAGGTTTTTTAACTTGAGTTAAGACGTATATCTGTCTATTTTAGCTCCGTCCATTTTAATTCGGGCATGAAATTTTAATTCTTCATACTCTCTAAAAATGGAAGCAGGCAAGAGCGATAGCAAGAGAGGTCAACATCTCTCGCAAGTCCATTCGCATGATTTTGGTGGAAGTTATGCGTATTAATTGCGTTCTTGCTCGGCTCGTCCCGATAAAGCTGAATTTTTTTTAAAGATTACTGTAAGCAGGTCTCTTTGAACATGCTTCATCGTCCGAATTCCGATCCCACATTTATGAAGATCATTATAACTGCCGATGATACATGGGTTTATGAATTTGACTTGCGAGCAAGTCAAGAGTCATCGGAATGGATTATCAATCGATCGAAGAGATAAAACGAAATTCGTTGAAGGAGCTGAAGGCCATCACAAAAAGTGCTTATTTTGCGTTTTACTTAATATTAATTTTTATAAAATTTAATTTTTTCCTGTATTTAGGATTACAAAATAATAAAAGAAAATCAATTGAAGTGTTGATACCCTACTAAGAACTGAAGAGCAATTCTGTTGTCTCTACCTGCCAAATATTAAAATTCAAGATTTTCCTAAGTGTCTTTTCATTTGCACATAGTCTACAATATTATATTATTATCGAATGGTGGCAACCCCATTTCAAAATGTATTCAAATTGTAAATTCTCAGAAAAACTTCAAATGTTCATGTGTTAACTTTCTTATACCTTGAATAGTGTATACTAAGTTTTACACGAAGTAAAACTCAGAAGGAACGAATTAAAAATTAAGTCGCTTTAGTCGGTTTTTCATTTCCACCTGTCTTTTTGTCTATCCGTCCATCTGTCCGTGTCTCTATATATTCGCGAACTATTCGCTCAACTATTGAAATATTTTCCATTTCTCCCCATGGAGCTGTTCATTTGTCGGAACCACCGAAACGATTTAAATTCCAAAATAAATTATTATAATAAATACTTCATTTCATATACAAATTAAAATGTTTACAATGATATTTTTGCATTGAATAGAAAACATGTAAACAAATCGCATAAACTCCACAGCATCATACTCGTACGCTGTATACATATAATATATACATATATAAAGATATATTAAAAATTAAAGTCACTGTCTGCCTCTCTTTCCATTGCAGACGACGATTACGGTCAAAAAACAGTATCCGTGCTTGTTGATGGCATCGAAACGGACTTGGAAATTATCGATCATCCTGCCTGTGAAATGTCGGTAAGTAGTTGTCCAGCAAAACACTCACTGAATGGAACGACACATTCCCACTAGCCATTGACACCGTTAGCCGTTACTCGTGCGCCACATAGAGTGTGGGTAATTGCCAGCATTGCATTGTTGAGTTGTCGCTTAGTGATGTTGAGCTGAGTAGGTCAAGTTCTCACTTGAGTGAATATTTAGATGCTGACGACGTTGACGGCAAGCTAGCCGCCGACCTGCAAAGTTGAAGTGCCACAGAAAGGACATATATATACATGTATTCATATGGATGCTTACAAATGTAGAGCATGTTGTTGACATAGAAAAGGAGCCAACATTCTTACGATATATAAAAACAATAACCTTTACATGAGCTTGCTTTGACATACACGCATACATAAATAGATTGGAGCGAAGATGTATACTATATATAGAAATCTACGAAGTTAATTGTAGTCGCTTGTAGGTGAGATAAAGCTCAAATGTATGTGCATGTGTGTTCTTGTGTTGTCGAATGTCATTAACACTTTGTATGTTAAGCGACAATAAAGCAAAAACAACAACAAAAAATATTGCTTACTTCCACAGCGTAGGACATGGATGCCATAAAGGCAGCAATACAAATATACTACTGACATATGTATGTATGCATATTTTTATGTGGGTGCAAAGTATTTACGTTGTACACAATATGATGTTTTATGGGTGTGTGTGTAAGTGCTAAGACTACTCGCAGCGGTTATCAGCACAGCGCCTGTCATCCCAACATGTTGACAATGCGCACACATAATACACACATTCAGCCTCAAGCTGGTTTTAATTCACTGAATCTCCCAAGCGTCGTTGGCAGAAGAACTTACATTTTTATTGACATTAATAACAATTATCGCTGGCTTTTATATCATCTAAGTAGCCGGCTTTTTCAATTTATTCTCATTACTACCTATATTTTTCTATTTTTTTGTCTTCTTTAGACGGAAGCCTTTTGTTCGACTTACAACATCGATTTGTTTGTGGTTGTATACTCGGTCGTAGATCGCAATTCCTTCAAGGCGGCTGAGAAGGTTTTGCAGTATTTGAAAGAACACGAAATGTTACTGACACGTGGCGCTATTTTAGTCGGCAATAAAACGGATTTGGAGCGACATCGTGAGGTTAATCGGCAAGGTGAGCATATCGTGATAAAGTACCACTTTTTATGTTATATATTTCGATGCACGAACTGTTAAACATTCGAAGTTTTATAAACTATTTCCTAAAATTGTTTTTAATGATGCTGAGGAGTGACATTTTGGTTTTGAATTTTAGGCACTCACCTACATTTATATATTAGAAAAGTATATATATATATATATACATGAAAAATCGCAATATGATTCCATTAGTATGAAAAAAAGTTATGTTTTTAAAGCAACATTTCCCCACAATTCAAAACCTATGCCAAGAAAGAAAAAAGTTGCATGTAAATATTTGAATTTAAAAGATTCATTATTTGGCGAAATGTCACGTATTCTCCACCTGATTTTTCCAGCGGAGTATAGGTCTTCTTCTTCCTCTGCTTCCTCCGGCGAGCACTGCATTGAATCTTTTCGGAGCTAGAGCATTTTTATCCATTCGGACGAAATGACATAACCAGATGTACGCTTATCTCCTAAAGCTCATCGTTCTATCGACTTTGGTATTTGCCATTTCCCATGCTCAAGGCACCATAAATCTTCCGCCGAGCATTTCTCTCCTAAACTCGTAACGTCACTCATCAGATGTTATCATCGTCCATGCCTCTGCATGGGGTAGCAGGACGGGGAATTTGAATAACTTGTAGAGCTTTGTTTTTGTTCGTCGAGAGAGGACTTTACTTCGCAATTGCCTACCTAGTCCGAAATAGCATCTGTTGGCAGAAGTTATTCTGCGTTGGATTTCAAGACTAACATGGCGGTTGGTGTTAATGCTGATTCCAAGATAGACGAAATCATTTGCCCTCGTTCACTACCAAACTCATTTGCTTCACTTTCTTATCCAGTTTAGGGAAAGCAGAAAAGAAGTCGACCTATAGGGAGTCTCTTGTTTGAAACCTCGTTTAGTATCGAACGGCTCGGAAAGATCCTTCCCGATCCTGACGGAGCTTTCGGTGTTGCTTAACAGCTCAGATCACACAGCCGTATTAGACTTGCGAGGATACCAAGATCTGATATAGCGGCATAAAAGTAGTTGTTTGTCGTACTGTCGAAGGCGGCTTTAAAATCGACGAAGAGGTGGTATGTATCGATCCTATATATTGTATAAGATCATGTAAAAAAATATATTCTTTGAAATTAACTGCTATTTATCTTGAGCATACTTAAAATGATCCGACTTAGGGCAAATATGCACCGTTTTGTTCGCTAACTTGTTGCCATTTTGAAGGTAACTTACAAGGCCATACTTATAGAAACCATTGCCCCTATTGGGAAAAAAAGCCAGGACAATCGATTTTCACAAATTTTTCTTGAGGTTTGCAATACTTGGTTTCAGGATCGGACTATAAGGTGAACGCCTCAGAATCTTCCAATCAAGCTCTCCCAGTTTCTGGTGAATCACTATCGATGTGATAAGTCATAAATAAGGCCCTTCTTGGCGATTGTTCGCTTCGGATGGTCCAATGGTTGCACCGACTTAAGAGGATGTCACCAAGGTAGCAGCTCATAGTAGATGATTCCCGGCCAATCACAGCAAACAAATAGCAAAATCCTACTGACCGTCAACCTTCGCTTTAGCACCGTTTGAGCCGGCTCACCGTGATTCGAACAGAACCGTTTTTACTCAACGTTGCCATAAATTCCCCACTTTTCATCACCAGTAACCATTCCCTTCAGAAATGGATTGAGTTTGTTGTATAAGATCTTTTTGCGTTAAGAGGGTATTCTATTGTAGAAATCAAATTTTGGGCAGTTTTTTAAATTTTATTTAAAAAAAAAAACCAAAAAATATTTTTACCATCCATTTTTTTATGATGTTTTTATTGATATCTTAAGAATACAGAAAAAAAATTTTACAAAAAATATTAAAAATTAAAATAGTTAGAGGTGGGAGAGACAGGTGTAAAAAGAAATGGCGCACCCTGGTGACATTGATCCTGACTCTCCTGGTGGTCTAAAAAAAAAATCAAACGAAATTCTTAATCAGTAAGGATGCTGTTATAGTCCCTACCTCAGGGAACACGAAATTTTTTTTTTTTTTTTTTTTTTTTTTGAAAAATGGCGGCTGCTTGAAAATAAAAATCATTTTTTACGCTTTTTTTTCATTCCTGAATTTTTTTAAAATATTAAAAACAAAAAATTTTGACACGATTCTGGTAAGAACGATAAAGCATTATATAAAGAAGGTTCACACAAAATTTCAAGCAAATCGGTTGTTTAGAACTTGAGATAATGCCGGCTCCGTGTGGAAAAAAGTAGTTTCGAGAAAAACGCGTTTAAAAAAGTGAGTCAAATTGCAGGCAGTCTAAGTAATTTATTAGTGCGCTAGGTACTGCGTCATTAAAGTAACTATAGCTCTTAAAATAATTTTAATTTTTAAAAGTCCTTTGGAGGATATGTTCTCAAGCGTCTAATCTGTAAAAATATGAAAAAAACGAATTTTTCAAATTTCTAGATTAGAGTACCCGCTTAACCCATTTGGCTTCTATATATCAAGCTTTTCTTTTCATTACGCCTGTAATTTAAGACTGGGTACTGTCTTAGCAGTTTTCTTTTTTTAATTCGAAATCTTATCTTTCTAACGCTATATGGTGTTAATACATCAATTGATATACGTTGATTGTAAAAATCGAATGAGACTCAGTTCACATCTAATCATATGCATATAAATAGAATAGAAAATTTTTCAATAATTTACTATAGACATCATACATTGAAAATTTTTTTCTAGCTGGACGTAAATTGGCTAAAGATATTTGCTGCAAATTTATTGAAACTTCCTCCGGACTCGATCACAATGTTAACGAGCTACTGGTCGGCATTGTCGCGCAGTCCAAACTGAATCCACAGCGTATACGTAACCTCAACGAGCGCGATCGTCAACGCCTCAGCCTACAGAGTGCTATACAAAAGCACCGGCATATGCATATAGCGCCACGACGTATGGTGCGACAGGTATCCATGTATCACGCTGACGACGATGTCGATGATGCAGCCGACAATGAGAACAACGGAGGAAACCGAGCTGGCGCTGGCACCAACAACGCCGATAACAATGATGAAAACCAAACGGCCGCTGATGAAGGCATCGGCACCGGCAGCGAACGTACCGTCAGCACCAGCCTCTCTTCAACCGGAATGGGCATCAAACTAGCAACCACGAAGAACTATGTACAACGCACGAATAAGCGTACGCTCAATCTGGAAAGTATACTCAAGATGGGTGAAAGCGAGTTAGAAGATGAAGAAGAAGCGATACAACGTCAACCGCCACTCGGGAAGCAACAACAGCAAACGCGTCCACTAAGTAAATTCGATATGCTGCTAGCTGGAGGCAAGAATAGTTTAAACGCATCCCCAAAGAATCGTCGATTTTACGGCAGTGGGGCAGTGAGTGGTGCCATCGGCGCTTTTACAGGAGGCAGGCGCTGTGTTAGCGATGGCTCAACCAGTGACAATTACACGGAGAGCAATGATCAGCTATTGGACGAAGGTAATCGGAAGACAGTGTCCAAGTTAACGAATCGCACGAAAGTGTTTCTCTCATCGGTACTGAAATTCAAGAAGGCGGTGAATATGCGGCGAAGAAACTCTTCGAGTTGTAGTGATCTATTCGTTATATAAGAGTAAAGGAAATTAGGTATGGGCAAAGAATGACTCTAGAAAAAGTAGTGCTTCGGTGATATATATTTTATTTATACTAAAATATTCAGTAACCGGTTATATGACTTTGTAAATATTTGATTCAGACAAAAATGATTTTCTTCTTGCTGAGAGTCATTAAGATACTTAATTGTAGTATATATTTTTTTATTTAAACAAGTTATGAATATAAATACATCACGTCTTCATTATAATTATCAAATACTGTTAAGATATATACTTAAATATAATACGATGCTCAAAATCGTATAAACTTCATGTATATCCTTTGGACGCAACCAATACTGATAAGCTCTTTAAGGGACACGCCTATGGACGATGACAACATCTGATGAGTCGACGTTACGAGCTTTCGAGAGAAAATTTATGGTTTTTGCGCGTTGGCCACGCCGAATATTGCATTCGATGGAACGATGAGCTGTATGAGATAATACATTGGCATAGTTCAGCGATTTAAGAGACAGCGGCTGCGCTGGCTAAGTCGTACGGATGGACGAAAACATTCCAGCTCTGAAAGTAAAAGTAGAGGAAGACTACTCCACTCCGTTGGAAACACCAGGCGGACAAGGGCCTAGCTTCGCTTAAAATTTCCAATAGGCACCATGTTGCGAAAAGAAGCCAGTAAAGAAGAGACGAGTTGTGTTCTGTCGTTTGATTAAAAACCATCCTGTAGTCCTTTCGAGACCGTGTGAGTAAAACACATGCGTGTTTTCCTTTGGGATTCTAGCACATGATATTAGCGATTTCGCAATTTCGAAAGTTGTATTGAGTATAATTTTTAGCGACTTACGTATTTCCTGTACTGGTTCGGTAGCCAGACGTATTGTTCTGTTGGCAATCTCATCATCTATATCATTTTCCGTAATTCCGATCTGGCATGGAATCCAGTATATAGGCAGCCGTTTTCCGTCAGTAACTACATCTACGCCCTCCCTGCTTTTCTAAGGTAATGTGATGTAAGATTTTTGCGTTAATTGCTTCCTGGCTACCAACGTATAACTATATTGATCTTCTTCATGTTGTGCCCTAAGTTGTTATTTATGCCAACCGCTTTCCTGACTGTAAACCGTTCGACCTGGAAGATAATATATTCTGGAAACTTAAAGGTTCGCCTAAGATAGATCCACGCAATATATCCTGGCGCCCACTCCATTAACCATTTTTGATCCGTCCGTGAAAATGTTGTAAATTCCGCTGACGAGTCGAAGGCTCAACCCACCCTGCTCTGATATGACTTTAAACCATCTCCCGCAAATAAAGCGTGAGGTTTCACCTATAGAACTTTTAATATGTAGTATATTTTATCGTCCAGTCCCCTGTTTATTGAGCCATGCCGGAAGGTCCAATTTGAAAAATTAATTTAAATTTTCATTACTAAAATATGCAAAATCGTAAATGAATTTTTTCTGAATTTCGCACTAGGTGAGCCTCTTAAAGCTCTTAAGAAGGTATATCAGGAAAGAATATATATCATAAACATACATATATCCATATCCATAAACTTCACAAGCCAATACGAAGAATAGAAGACCAAAATATCAGTTGATACTTAATTCCCCTACAGAACTTTGACTAATCTCACACGGCGAAATGAAGTCAACTGGATACTGACTGCGCTCCTGTACCGACTAACAATACTAGACAGAATAATTAATTAGAAAATCCTCAGAACAAAGAATGGGTAAAACCTCGTTATATTCAATAAAATAAGACAAAGGAAATTCCCTTACAGAGCTTTGACTAATCTCACACGGCGAAATGAAGTCAACTTGATATTGACTGCGCTCCTGTACCGACCAACAATACTAGACAGAATACTTAATTAAAATGCTCAGAACAAAGAATAAGTAAAATCTCGTTATATTCAATGAAATAAGACATAGGTAACAGCTGAGGGCAGGTAGACTACATATGTACCATACACTATACTACACTACGTCCCAGAACAAAAAATAGATTTTTTAATTATATCAGATTGTGAGAGGGATCATTGGAACTGGAAAATGAAAACAAACTATTGCAGATGTATAAAGTTTTAGCTACATTATTTAGAAACCCGTCATTAGTTCTTCAAAAGCCTCTTGTGCATAAGTTTTTAATCTGAGAACAAATTAACCTGAAAGTAAAATGCTAAGCAACGAATTGTAATGTATAGTATACTAGTAATGGTAAAGAAAATAAGAATTTTAGGAATTTTGAAACAAGGATTGCATATCAAACACACATATTTTATCAGCAATTACCACACATAAAATTTTAGAATCACTATGACTGAAGCATTGAAAGCAGCGAATGAAATGGGACAGTAATAATTGGTACATAGATTTTATTTTAAAATATTTTTATAAATCGCAATTGTACTAGTATCACAATTGTAATAAAGACACCGGCTAGATACCTTGACTACCACCATTTTATATTAAAAAAGTTATATATCATATACCAACAACGCAATAAGTAACCGCAGAGAAAACAAGTTTACGACGAACACACTGTGAGAAAGCGATTTTGAAAACTCAACGGAACAAATTAACTATACTTATGAAAGCAAATTGATACTCTACATAACATACATACATATAAAATAGATATTTGGCATACGATTTAATAAAAAAATATGAATAAAATATCTCATATTTAGCAGTATACGAGCACGATAACTTTTTGAAATGCAAATTTTGACGAAACGAAATCAGAATAGAACACGCAGACTGTAGTTAGAATGGGAGGTAATAAAAAATCGAAAATAACTGCTTTTTATAGCAAACTAATAACGGTAATTAGTTAATCAATAAGMAGAAATGAAAAATTGAAAATTAGACCCAGTAATTTCATACTATTTGTAAATAGAATTTGTACATTTCATACTTTCCTAAAACTTTACACTTTTTCCTCACAATATACATATATATAAGTATATATATGGTATATATAGAATTAAGCATATGTTATGTGTAATAATTACAAATTAAAAACAAATAATCACAGGAGACTGAAATTGCATCAAAAATTAATAATACCTAATAAGCTGCGTTTATAAAAAGCATTAGGCTAAAAGTACTTTCAAATTATTTCAACAATAATTATGCAAAATTAAATCAAAGAATGAATCAAATTATATTTTAATGTAAAAAAAATATTATTGTACTTGTATACAGTTCACAAAATAGAATTTGATCTATTTTCGAAATGTACTACTCTGACAAGAAATAGTAAGACTTTGTTCGTAATTTTAAAAGTCTTAACTTATCTTCAAAATCTATGTCGTCGCTCAAAGTAACCACCCTTTGTCCCAATAGACTTGTGCCCATGTTTTTTTCAACCTTCGAAACAGTTGCTACAGTCAATTTCCAGAATAGTCTTCAATGCGCGTAGCGTTTCAGGTTTAATGGCTTCAATTGACTCAAAACGAATTCGTCGAAGCGGTCGTTTTTAGTTTGCTAAATAACCAGAAGTCACACTGAGCTAAATCAAGCAAGTACGGTGCTTTGCGAAAGCGCACGAAGAATCAATGCAGTAGTTAACGGTGCATTTTCGTGGTAAAAAAAATCGGAGAGCTGTCGGCCCATAACTCAGCCCTTTTTTTACGAGTAGCTTCGCGCAAATGACGCATAACACTCAAATAATATTCCTTTTTAACAGTTTGCCCGATCGGTAGGAGTTCGGAGTGCACCACACCTCGATAGTCGAAGAAGACTTCATTTATGTCAACTTTTCTGTACGAACTTTGAAACGTGGACAAATGTGGCAATGGTTAGCCATTCTTACTTATGGTTATATGCTCGAGGGCCAGCAGCTTGGAAGCATATCCCATTTGATATATCTTCCCATGCCAAGTTAAAAGTGCTATATATTAAGTATTTTATAAGATGTTTCTTACCAGGCTTTTTTTCTTATTTGTCTCTCTTTGATTCCATGAAAACGTATTGATTAATTTGGTATGTATTTAAATTTTCCCACTTAAGATGAGTCAAGATATAAATGGATGGCCCTGCTTATGATATGGCATGTATCTCATTGCCCGTAATGAAATCACTGGGTAGCAATAGCAATATAGCGAAATAAGTGCTTTGACGTTATGGATTGAAAATGATGAACGTAAGAGATGACTGGAAGCATAGGAACGAGACCACAAATATAGTAATTATGGATGAGTGGGTGGAAGTAGATAAACAAAAACATTAATTGCTTCAAGTTCTTCTCAATTAACAAAATTTTCGTTATTTCTGACTGACACAAGAGATTCATATAGGGTATAAAGAAGAATTAAATCGTTAATCAACCTTAAATCGTTAATCAACCTCCCAAGAAATAAACTCAGGATCCTGGTTGCATTCTATATCGGCCACTGCAAGCTGAAAAGGCACTTAACTAACATGGGCCTATCATCTTGCGCCAACTGTCGGTTTTGCGACAGGGATCCTGAAACCCCGGAGCACCTGCTAATCGACTGCATTGCAGTCTGTAGGCGCAGGTCGAAGGCCCTTGGAGCCATGTTTCCGGATAGGGATCACATCGCCTCGCTAGCACCCAGCAAAATACTGAACTTCGTCAATATGCTGGGGCTAAGCGAGTCCCTGCGAGTTAGGAGAGGGCACAATAGACCTGTGGTCGCAGTGCATTCCTCAGTTATGTATCTATCTATAAAGAAGTGATGGAAGCCTGATGAACTAGAATCGCTATGACTTCAACTCAATCAATCACACTTTCATGATTTATATCATGATTTTGCTAGGGAAAGGAAATCTATATCAGCTGTGTAGGAGAAAAAAATTGGTGTATTTCTATAAATTGGACCCTAATAATTTATTTCTTGTACTAAATATTTTGAATGATATTCTCATAACTCAAGTTTCAAGGTTTCTTAAAAGTCGAAGACTATTCCTTTTTGTTTTCCATAAATATAAGCATAAGTATAAGTATAAATAATTAAAAACAAATACCGACAACGGGCAACATTA